CCCCCCCCCCCCCCCCCCCCTCTTTCTCTCCGTGTCAGTGTGCCAGTCGTTGTTTGGAAGCCCTCACTCATATCTCTGCTGTATATTTATCTCTGTGCTCCCACTCCGCCTGCATTCCCTGCAGCCTAATAAGGTCTGGATACAAGGAGAGAGAGGGAGGGCATAGAGGGCGAGGGACGATGGTGGGAAAAGGTTGGACAATAGCAATCAAAAGTCTTTTCCCACAAAATAGGTTTAGGTCTGTGCATGTGTATTTTAGTGTAAAGAGAGACCACACAGTAGAGGACTGAAGGACACAATAGAATAAAGAGAACATGATGATATGGGCCTTTAGGTTGACACATTGTAAAGCACTTTGATGCAGAGCAGTGTAAACACGATACAATGATGTTTGCTCTGGTAAATGCACATGAATGTGACCGACGGAACAAAAAAAGTACAACTTAAAAGTACTTCAAAGTCGATCCTGATGTGCTCCAGTATTTTTGTGGGAAATGTGTCCTTGTAGTATTTCATTGATTGTTGTCTGCCGATGCACATCAAAAGCCTTCAAAGAAGACTATTGTTCATCACGCTTTGTGTCCACACACACACACACACACACACACACACACACACACACCAGAGAGCTTAAAACACAACCACAAACCACCACCCACATCCTAAACTGTGCCCTCTCTTTCGCTATTGTTTCCTCTAGTGTTTTCTCCATCACAGGCTGGTTTCTGGAAGCCGGGGGGGGATTTCTGTGTTTTTAATGTGCTTATGCAGTTACTACTCGGCTGTGAAATCCCCTCTGTGAACGGTCACCCGATCTCTGATACGCCTTCAAACATGCAGCAGATTACATTACCACTATATTCACCAAAGTAAGTAGCTCTCATTAACTGCCTCGCCTGTCTTTGCCTTTTTTTAAGAAATGCCCCAACATAACATGGAGAGCACCAGGAGCCCGTGGCAGCAGGGGCTGCGGCTGCCGTGGATCACCAGAGTGGCTGGAGTTCAGAGCCCCGCCTCCTCGGGGGCGGAGTCGGATACAGAGAGTAGTAGCACGGAGAGTGGGCGGGTAAGTGAGTGAGATGAAGCTGTTGATGCTGATGCAGCTCTTTCATGCCAAACGATGGGGTGTTGGGACATGAATTCATAATCTGTAGCTGCATGTTAGAAGAGATATGCATCTCGCTTCATGCAGTTAAACCAGTGAATCCTCCCCCATTACTAACCTGTTTACAGTTTTAAAGCTTGCATGTGGTCACCTCATCTACTTTTCCCCCTTTTTTCTGTCAGTCCTGCATTAAAAAGCTGGAGGCGGGCTCACTGAGGATCCTGCCGTCATCGCCCTCAATGCTCCAACAGCGAATCACAGAGATCGACCAACAGAAGGAGGAACTAAAGATCGAAGTGAGCATGTGGCCCTATCATAGAAGGGCACAACAACAACTGATGATTCAATTTGGTGTAAAATGTATAGCAGACTACTTGACTGACTTAAAGCTGAAACAATTAAATGATAAAGCTTGCTAAAACTAGTTAATCAATTTTGAAGATGGTGGCTAATTTATTTTCTCTGTCATTTATTTAAAGCAAAAATGCCAAACAAGCTCCAGCGTGTCAAATGAGTTATTTGCTTCTTCTTTTTTTAAATATATTTTTTCTTACAGATATGATAGTATGAATATCTGTGGATTTTGGACTGTTAGTTGGACAAAACTAGCTATTTAAAGATCTACCTTAGCTCTGCCATTGTCTTTTCTGACATTTCACAGAATTAAAGATTCATTTAAAAAAAATTAACTTTAGATAAATGAATGTGAAAGTATGTTTCAGTCCTAGCATGAATTTAAGAATATGCAATCTTCATCAGCTGTTTAACAGGTGGTTAAAGTAATACTTGTGTTACCTAGATATCTTTAAGGAAACGGTACTCGCAGGGACAAGTCGTGAGGCTGTTAATGCAGAAGTGTTTTTAAATAGTATGATTTTAGTGAACATGCATGTGTTTGGGAAGTGGTGAGCATATGACTGGATAAAGTACTTCATATTGTTTCGCTGCTAAACGCTGTTTTTCTTCAGTTCAACAAGACTTAATCTGTTTTTTTTATTATTTGTTCACCATGGAGGTGAACTAAGTTTTCTTCAAGAATTTAAGGTAACACAGGGGGAGTAATTGGTATACAAATGGTCATTTTGGGGGTGAAGTATTCTTTTAAGGTTTCTTTAAGGGTTATTTTAACTCACTATGACTGCCGCTACAAATTATCAACCAAGACAGTGTGTTCAAGGAAACAGTGAAATGACTTTGATTGTGTTTCTGCTGAAGTCTGCACATTTCAGTCTCCAAACATCGACACGGTAAAGGAATGCATGTCTCTGACTTGCTCGGGCTCTGGTCAATATGATTAAGCTCCGTGGCGTCTGCTGTCCTTTCAGCTGCAGCTGGAGATCGCCCTGCTGCAGGGAGAGCTGCAGACGGAGCAGACCCAGCTGCACAGACACACACAGAAGCTGCAGGCTCTACAACAGGAGGTCAGACAGAAGGAGAAGCACAGACACACCGGCAGACAGAAGGTATCCTGTAATGTAACTCATATCTAAGGTTTTCACTTGTTACGAATATGCTGCATTTCTGATGTGTTTTGCCATGACTGTTCTTCTGTCCTCATTAATGACCAACAGACTAATAGTGTTGATTGTTATATTTTAAATGACTTAACATTATAGAATGCCATTTCATTCAATATTAAATAGATAAATAAACAAATATGCCTATGATATACACCCTGAAGTAAATAAATGAGGCTATATCTATCTATCTATCTATCTATCTATCTATCTATCTATCTATCTATCTCTCAACAAATGCTGATATGAATATATAAATAGGTTTTTATTTAAAAAAATAATTGACAGGACAATTTTTCTTTATTTCAGTGGACTTTTATTTCATAATTCCACATTTCTGACCCCAATCATTTGAATACAACAGATAAAAGTCCCCTTAAATTAATAAATGTAGTCCTTTTGAAAAACGTCATTGTAATAAAAACATGTTTTTTTTAAAAAAAATTTTTAACTGTGTTGACGCATTTATATATTATAAATTTATATATGTCTCATTTATATACCTCAGGATTTTTTCAAAGCCTTATATTTTAATTTCATAGTTTTTTTTTTTTTTTTTTTTTTGTTTATTTGCTTACTTACTTATTTACTTTATTATTTAATTTATTTACATATTTGGAGTGAAGTTTGAGTTCACAATCGCAACAGAAAAAAAGTTGGCTGAAGGAATTTCACATAGAAATGTGTGGGCTCAGTAATAGTCCACCAACATCAACACAAGATCATTTCAATGATAAGTCGATTCCCATGAAATGAGCTGGTTTGAAGCAAGTTGTCCGCAGAACAAACTCTGTAAACTCGGTTGGGAAATGTATTTGTTAGTGTTATTTTTGTCTTTTTTGAATTAGTATTTGTTTTGCTTTAAATAGTTTGGTGGTGACTCTACTCTTGCTTTACCATCTGTAACTGCAGGAGCGAGAGAGTCTGGAGGAGGAAAGGCGGAGGGTGGAGGAACTGAAGCGGAGGTGCGAGGAGAAGGAGAAGCTGATCCCCAGTCAGCCAGAGAGCCAGAGAGAACAGCTAGCACTGCAGCTGCAGCAGGTGAGTGGCTGAGCTGCACACAGCCTCTTTATGAATGAAGCAACATAAGAAGACGATGGTGTCTTTAACATATTCATGTTTCAAAAAGTTCAGCTCGCTCTTTTTCATACTAGTCTCGTTAATGTGATGGCAATTTAACGTGTCTGAATAAGCACCCTGGTGACTTTTACATTAAAGGTCATGGTGGATTCAGATAGAACTGAATGCTGTCAGATTAACGTACACAAAGTAAAACATGCAAAAATAAATGTTGTTTCTCTTTCTAAGACCACTGGAATACATTTCATCTGATATGCACAAAGAAAAGAAAATCTGTTTAACTATGAAACACTGTAAAAGAAAGTTGTTGAGGAGAAACTATGTACCCCCCCCAGCAGTGCAAATGGTGTAAAAAAACAATAATAATCTGCCAAACATCACACTCTTTATTCATGTCTAAATTAAACCATTGGAACATTAAAGTAAAAGACACCCATGTCTGAATCATCACTTTAACAGATGGAAGATGTCTGACATATCATCATTACCTGTTAACGGAAACTACTCATTAATAAATGTACTAAACAAACATGACAACACAGGTGATCAGTGCAGCTGTATCTGGCTGTTTCCGAGACGTTTTGGTCAAACTAAGAAAGGAAAAGAAAAGAACACAAGAATGTTTTCTGTTTCCTGCTTTTGAGAGGGTTTAAGTTGTGAATTGCATATTTAAAAACACAATCAAGCTGCCCACAGCTGTAACTCCAGATCTGAACCTTGATGTATTGATTTTCAAACATCAATTGACCGTGTCATGTGTCGAACTATCTAATCTTGCTGAACTTGCTTATTTAGGAGGAAATGCAATAGATGACGTTGTTGGCAGCGATCCACCTGAAATCTAAAACTGATACTGATACTTGTTGTGCTGCGTTGGCTCACGACAGTGTGTCTCAGATGCAGGGTGCGTTACTGTGGCACAGGTTCTGACTCCTACACATAAAGTGTTTTTTTGGTTGCACAAAAGTGTGATTGTTCAGTACCTGTTCAACCTGATGTGTCAGCGGTTCAAATGTGTACACACACACACACACACGTACACAGTACATGGGTTGTTTATTTTACTCTGAGAATGTGACAGAACACGATGGGAGACCTCCTTGTTTTAAAAGCTTTGTTTAATGATAGGTTTGGATGCATTCAGCAGCCATTTGTTACTTTGTTATGACAGGGCAGATTTATTTGGAAAGATCTTTTTAGAAACTGCTTTGTCTAAAATTGCGCCACAGAGGAAAACACACATGTGCACAAACAGGGGACACGTGCACAAGAACAAGACCGCAGGTATTTTGGTTATGTGTCAATGAGGCTGTACAAGTTTTACTTTCATTTCACTTTTATACACGAACATATTTTGACTCTTTGAAAATGCTCTTCAGGTTCATTTTCGCATTAAAGTATTAAAACCAGTGCTTGTATTGACGAAGTATCGCTAAATACAGATTCCCAGAAGTTCAATTGTTTATATCGTCTGTTTATATAAAGTGTTTGATTCTGTAAGATAGCTTCTACCTTGAGGCAACGTCTGTGTGTTGCTGCACACAAACTCATCTGGCATTAAAGTTAAAAAAAAAAAAGAATCTGGAGATTTTCTTTAAATTACTAGCTATCTTAAAATAAACATATTATACTTTTTGGAAAGATTTCAATTTTTAGTGAATATTGGAATTATCACTATTTTCATACAGAATTTTTACACCATTAAAACAACTTTGTAAAATGATTTTAGTAGCTGTACTGTAACTAAAACATATTTACAGATTAGTTTGGGGAGAGGTTAAATGACAAAGAACTAGCAACAAAGTGTTGCTCATCAACATCTGAGTGCAGTTTATTACCCATAAAAAATGTATTGTCCAGCATTTAAAAAAAATGAACCTACAGTACAAAACGAAAACAAATGCTGTCACAAACTGGTCCTATCAGACTAATTGCTCGGTTCTGAATGCAGGAGAAAGAGGCGATGGAAGCGGCCGTTCGGACCTTTGACGACTGGGAGTTTCGTGTTCTGGAGCAAGAGAGCGGCATTGATGAGGAGGACGCGAGCACGGTGGACGAAGAGAAGGCGGGGGAGAGTGATAGGGACATGGAGAAGCAAATCTCTCATCGGCAGCATGCGGTCAACACCTCGCAGGTAAAAATCAACGTGCGGTAGAAGGAATTCCCCCGAGAACGTCACTCCTTCTCCTGACGTGTTCTACAGGTTTGCAGCTTATCTGCATGCCATGTGCTTCATCTAAGTATGTACCCCCGCAGGCTGACGTGGGATTAACCCTCCAACAAACTTCCCTTTTAATACAGACTCGTGATATCAGACATGTACATAGAGCGGGTGGACAAAATAACAGGAACAATAATGTCCAATACTGCAAAGAAATCTACATTTTGACAAAAGATTTGTAAAGGTCCAATTTACAAGCTCGACAGCATTCATGATGTGTCGGAGACATGTGGTGAAAATCGCAATTTTTAGGTGTTCCTGTTATTTTGTCAACCCCTTGGACATGCATACAGTGCTATAGAATATTTCATTTTTTCTTGATAGTAGTGTAAATGTTCACTTATTGTAAAATGCTCACTTGTGTTCATGAAGTTTTTTTTGTGTCGGAAGCAATTGTATCATTAATGACTCAATAATAACTATAACTTTTAACAACCTCTATTCCTACAATCTTTATTCTCTTGCTCAGCCACCCATCTCTCTATTATTTGTGTCCATTAATTGACACAAAAGTATGTGTATTGATGAATGGGAAGAGAAGCACAAACCATCATAGAGATCCAACTGAAACATTTACTGAAGCTGCTTTTTTTTTTTTTTTTTTCCTTTTTGTCACTTGAGAACAAGTTGTTTTTCTTGCAGAAATGTTCTGCACAATCCTCCATTTGTAAGCATCTGAAATGAATCTTCTTCTTTGCAGAGTTAAGTTAAGGAGAGGGCAGACCAGAAAGTGAACTTTTAGAGCCACAAATCTGAGCTCCTCCTATAATAATCACAGAGTTGTTGGCAGTTATCAACAAAGCTGTAAATCTTGCTCGGATCCTATTTTTGCTCTGCAGCACAGTGAAAATCATCATTATTGGCTTATTGGCCCTGAAGGACTCACAACCACATTATTTACAGTATGCTCATGCACATATACACAATCTCCTCAACTCACAGCCCATGGTTGGTACTGTAGGCTAAGACTTGCCCTCCTTCCCCCCCCCCCTCTGTTAAATCTTGACAAGCGCATGAACTCTTTTCCTCATTCTCACCAGCGTCACCCTGACACTGTCACATGACTCTGTACAGCAAGTCTAATTACACCAGAGGCCACCATGAGAGGGAGAAATCAAAAGAATAAGCGGAAAGGAAGGCAGAGCAGCGACAACAGTGGAGAAGATGGAAAGATAAAAACACGAGGATTAGGAAAATTGTTCAGATAAAATGACAATTCAGGATTAATTTTATTTATCCATATTTACCCATGTGATGAATTGAATAGCTGTATCGCACTTGAGGATTTTGAATTTGCAGAAAACTACTGCTTATTATTTACAGGTTGATTTAAAATGATAACATTTAAAGAAATATTCTTGAGATTAAATTGATGTTTTTCAAATTAAAAATAAAGTACAAAACATTTAAAGACAATAACAACAATAGTGTCACCATATCATGCAACTAAATAAAAAGGATCTATCCACGGCATTCGCCATCAACTTAAAACTTAAAATGAAAAATACCTGTGATTGGCCAGACAGTTTTAAACCGAGTAGGCTTGATTGGACGCACCAGAAAAGACACTCTAAATGTAGAGAAACAATATACCTCCTAATTAATCAGATTTACTGTAAACACCACGATAATGATTGTCATTGTTAAACAATTCATTCTGCAGCTTTGTGATGGAGGGAGTCAAGAAATGGAACAGTTTGGGAGACAGTAAAACTCTTCAGATTTGGATTCACACGGTAATTTGAAGAGGCCTGGAACATGTTGGCACTTGCATGATAAAGCCTAAATGTATAACTGGCATGTTGAGACATTAGTACCCGACTGTGTTCTTTGTTTGGATAGTGATTTATTGACCTGAACATATGTTTTCAATGTCTTGTTGTGTAGGGAACTTGCATTTGCACATGCTCGTCCCACTCATATTTACAAAAACACCACAATGAATGTCTGTACCGGTTTAAAGGCAATCAGTCCAATTGTTTTCGAGACATTTAACTCAAAACCACAATTGTCAACGTCATAGTGGTGCTACAGTGAAATTCCGAGGATACCCAAAGTAAGAGGGATTCATCCCCTGGCGACCATGAATGTTCGTACAAATTTAAATGGCAATATTTCAATCTGGACTGCAAGACAGATTACCATCCATAGAGCCGTTTACCAGTAGCACGGCTAAAACGCGGTGGGTAAAAAAATGCTAAGAGTAGCTTTATTGACAAACTCTTTTATCATTCTCCCATGTCATGAGTCCAAAAGTCAGAAAAACATGTCTCGAATCTCATGTTTCTAAATTATTTCTGAAGCCTCCACAACTGGGAGCAGCTTTTCACTTGTGATCTTTGTTTACATTCTGACAAGAAGTTCCAAAATGACTGTTTTTTTCCGTTCACATGTCCATGTGTTCTTGTGGAATTGGACATCGACAATAGATTAGATGGTGAAAATAATATCGAATTGTTCCTCAATTAGCTGGAGTATGTAGGAGGAGGAGCGCAGCCTGGGAGAAGAAGAGGGGGATTGTGTGAGAGGGATGGTGGTTGACTCGGCTGCAGTGAGGCCAGATGACAGCTCCTCTCTATACCCTCCGTCCGTCTGTCTGTCTGTCTCTCACTGTGTCATATTTGCTGTCCTAAGGTGCTGTTTCATTATCAGTCCGTCATTACTTTTGAGTTCCCCTCTCAGCCCTGCTGTCACGTGTGCCTCTCATTAACTTGCAAAATGGATGTTTGATTTGCATCGTGTCCCGGCTGAGGAGATCAACTCGGCTCGGGGCTCCGCACTTGCTCACACATCGGGGATGTTTTCCCAACGTTACACCACAACATGATGAAAAGATTATGTAAACTCGGGGCCGGCCCAGATGAATCGGATACAGCGCATGCCGTTTCCCTTGATGAAAAGAGACCATATGGCCGTCCACGCTGACGGGAATTGTGTTGTGAATTTCCAGGAGCGAGTCCAGCAGTTACAGAGACAGCTGAAGGAGATGGAGAGGGAGAAGGAGAGGGACCTCAACGCCTTGAGGAAGGAGAGGAGAGACCTCGTTCACACTAATCAAAGAGTAAGGGATTCATGATTTTGTGGTCTATCACTATTGTCTGAATGCTTAGTGGGATTTATTAGAACACATTTTATTAATTCTTTTGAGATGTGTCATCTGGTTTTCTGAGAGAGAGATCTACATTTTCACATTGCCTCATAATAAGTTGGAAGTTAGTGATTTATTTAATTTTATTACTATTAGAATTGTTACAATAGTGATTGATTTCAGACACAGCCTTAGGTTGCTAAGCTTCATAACATAATGTCGCTGTGGACAGCCCAACCTGCCATGCTTTAACTGTTTTATTTTGAATACTTGCTTCTCTTTTGTGATTCACCCAGTCACAGATTTGACTGAGCTGGGACTTTATCACACAGCCAGTGGTTTACCTTTTGATCTGATTAATGGCAGCACCAGTTGAAATGAGGAGGAGACAAGATCTGGATAAGAAAAAAGCAAATCAGACATGAAGAGGGAGGGAGGGAGAGGGAGGGAGGAGTAAGCTATGTGAGGGAGGGTGCTTCCTTTGTGAGTGTGTGTGGACATGTGAGTGTGTGTAGATGTGTGAGAGGGAGAGAAGGCAAGCTGGGAGAAGTTCCACATCCTTTTGACGAGCGGTAAGCCATAAAAGAAAATATGCACTTAAATCGATCCATGTGGGTGACGGGCGTTATTATTGTTTCTCAGAAAAGTGACTGAATGTTTGGTTCATCTGCTCCAGTAACTGGGCGACTGTGGCTAAGTGGATAGTCGCATGTCGATGTGTCCTTGAGCAAGACACTTAACCCCAAAATTGCTCCCGTAGTTGTGCCTACGGTGCAGAAATGTGATAGAATCTGAATTGTAAGTCGCTTTGGATAAAAGCGTCTGCTAAATGACTGTAATGTAATCTAATGTAATGTAGTAACTGAGAGACTGGGGGAGGTCAGAAGGGAGTGGCAGTACAGAGGAGGAGAGAAATAACAAGTGTGTGAGACTACATTATGACCTCGTGCAGGATGTGGTTTACTTCTGAAACACGTGTAGTGAACTTTCAATACTGAGACGTTGTTGTATCGGATAGAAAATGACTTGTGTAGTAGATGGTTTGGGCAAAATGAATCTGATTTAGATTTCCTTGTTGCAGAAAGGGACATCAGTAACTGTTGTATAAGTCTTCACTGCCCACACGTTCCCTGTGGGTATGGACTGGTGTAGAGCAGTGAAAGAGACAGATAAGGGTTAAACAGTGCACTGCATGTGGAGACTGAATTGCTCATGTGTTAGTGAGTCAAGCAAAGAGGGAGGGTCAGAGGGAAAGATAGAGAGGCGATGATAATTTCTTCTTTATTTTTTAACTCATTGCGATCCCTCTTAGAAGTGGAGTTTTAATTCTCAGCCAGATGTGGTATGTCGAACGCAGCAGCTTTCATTAGTCACCGTGTTTGTCATGTTCCCCGCCGCTCCAATTCATTTAAACTGTTACTTGTGCCTTCCAGTTTTCCATTTCGAATGAAATCTAATCTGGTCCTACAGGTTCTCAAAGAGAAGAAGCCTCTCACTGATTGGTCCAACATCAACGGCTCAGCCCCCTGCATGATGTCATTTTCCCCTCTGACCGTTCACAAGCCTCCTCAGGTGTGCAGCATGTTGCTGTGGATACAGCATGTGTTAGTTAGAACAGTTTCGATTCATTTTATTATAATTTTTTTTTTTTCTCAAGGAAGCTATCAATTCGTTAGTCTAGGAAATGTTGAAAAATGTCCATCACAATTTCCCAGAGACGTCCTTTAAAACGTCTTGTTTCGTTGAAGATACTTTAAAAGAGTTTAATGTCCCGTAAGAAGGCCGAGACAACCAGCATTTATTTACATTTTAGAGGAAGCTGTGCACTTCTGCTGTTGGTGCTTAAAAAGCGGCATAATCGATTATAGAAATAATTGCAGATTAAACATCTGTCAATCGACTAATTGTTTCATCGCCTACTCGCTTCAGCTCTAGTTTACAAGATTTAAGATGAAGTTGAAATGTTTTATTATCTTTTTAGGAACCATGCAAAGAATCGGCCAGTTTGCCCAGAAGACGGAGCTCATATCGCAGCAACAAGCTCCACGACAGGCCGCTGTCAGCACAAGGTGAGCTACCAGCAGCCCCCTTCTTTCTATTTTCTATTGCGCTCGTGATTGCTTGGGCTGCGAGCGCCACGATATAGAACAATAAACGCTCTTTCTCTCTCTTCACTCATTTTGTCTGACTGTTTGTTCAGTTCCCTCCCTATTAGTCAAATCAAAGGTGTGTCAGGAGAGACGGCAGGCTGTTATTACATTGGTAGAAAGCAGGATTTTCCTGTCCAGACCGGATGAGCCAGAGAAGAGTCTATATACTTAATGTCCTCGGTAGTATCTATTTTACACACACACACACCTCTATCAGTCACCAAATATCCTAGTAGCCTGATCTACAAGGTCCCATCTTGCCAGGTGTGCTTGTCCTTAGTCCCTTCCTGAAAGCTGTAAACAAACTGAAAATTCTGGATCAAATGTGATTCATCGCACTAAATTTTCTCACGCCAGATCTTATATAAAGTTGTTTGCGCTGACCGATGCATGTTTTTTTTCTTGTGTGTCTTTCTCTATCTCCTTCCTCTCTCAGGGCTGGTGAGGACGCTTTCAGACAGCCGGAACCCTGAGGCTTTCACTTCCCCCCTCGTCTCCCACAGGCTCAGCAACGGCCACAGCAGCGACCGCAGACATGGGAACAGCAACGGCAGCGGGTTCCTCACTCCGTGCAACAGCGCAACAAGCTCCCGCGCTGCCAGGTCAGCAACTTCACTGCTCGTTTGATGAGCTCTTTTTTTTTTTTTTTTTTTTTTTTTTTTAAAGGGAGGAATGAAGTGTCGCTTTTTAATATGCTTACTTCAGCATTCACATGCAACAAGTAAGGGCATTTTCGTAGTTTGGGCCGGCATTGGTTGTGATATCAATGTGCTCAACAAAGTAATTGTTCTAGACATGTTGCCTTTTCTGCCAGATCTTAACAAAGTCTGATAGGGCAACAAACATGAGCAGTCAAGACGATCAGGTAGATAGAGAACAAGCCCAAATCGTCAAATCCCAAAAAACAAACTACCTACGAATAGTTGAATATTCTGGCACAGCCCTACTTAATTGGAGATAAAACTAAAAGTGAGCAAACTGTAGAAGATTAATAATACTGTGGGTTTACTGTAATACCAGTTTTGTTTAGTTAAAGTAAACACAGTTGATGTGCTAGATGTGGAATTTTGGACTGATCACAGTGGCACGTTTGTATCTCAGGAGCAGGACTGCACTCCAATTACTTGAATAAACACTGAAATTGCAGTTCTGCTCCTGATTTTTGCTGCGTCATACCCTTCTCCACATATTAGGGTATCTCAACCTTAACTGTGTTTAGCCAATGCAGTTATTTTGATTGATTTGATGAATCCTCCTCTTCCTCTCACAGCCCGCTTCTGTTGGATCTTGTGGAGATCGAGAAGAAACTGAGGGAAGCCAAGGCAGAGAGAGAGAGGCTGCTCAGAGAGAGGGTGAGTCACCTGCCGTGGGAAACGCTCGCCGACACCTCTAATCGCCCGCGACACACTGCATTAGACACGGCTGTCTGATCACTGACACCCACTCAGCTCGCACATGATGGTCCGAGAAAACAGCCAGCAGATGTGTGGATGTTTGTAATGCATGTTTGCAGCATTGGCCAATGCCAATACTGCAAAAAAATGTTAAGCCAGATGATTGCGTGTTAATGTGAATTTTGAAAGGGGATTGTTCACATTTCTCTCTTTGGAGACGCGTATCAAATACTTCATCTTACATACAACTGTTAGAGCGGTATCATCTTTCTTCACATTGTATTCAAAGATGATTAGCTAATACTTTTCAATGTGTGCATCCAGGAAGAGCGACGGTGGTTGGTGTTGGAGGAGAGAAGGCAGAAAGAGAGAAACTCTCCCAAAACAGAACCAGAGGACCAAGAGACCCCACACAGACCAGAGTCAGAACCAAAGGAGCAACCATCGGCCAGTTCTCCCCCAAACTCTCCAGAGGTATGTATGAAATGACAACCATATGGTTGTCTTCAAGATATTTTCTCTGAACAATGGACAGTTAAATAACAAAAAGGACAAAGATGGATGCAGTAGAACCAGAGATAAAGTCTTGTTCATTCCACGCATTCTTCTTCCTTGTCAAAATCTGCCATTACCTACATCAGCTATTCTCAAACTGGGCCGAGGCCTCAGAGCGACATCTAGTGGGCGCTGGAGGTATTACCAAATGGTTAGAAAAGTAACTACCTTTGTATACAACCATAAAAGATCAATTAATCTAACAGGCTGAGATGTGTTGTGTTGGTAGCAGCTAATGTAGCCGTAAGCTGCTTCCCCTGATGAGGAGTTGGCTGCGGGGGTCTCTTAAAGTTTCTCTTCTTTCTAACTCCACACCTCCAGATTTTTTTCATTTTCACACTTTGCAGTCTTCAACTCCACGGAACGCTTTATATAGCAGATGCAGCAGTACTTCCTAAAACCTGTAGACACACTTTGATTTGTGGGATTCCCCTTAAAACAACTACAACTACAAACTGATAGTAGGCCAAATAAATAATGAAAAGAAAAGGGCCGATGCCCGTCCATCACACAGCAGCATTTAGAGAGGTGGTTTGTCGAGATGTTGCTGCTCACTTTTCTGCTGGAGAAAAATGCTATATGGACACATGCCCTTAGTGTTGCAGTTGCAAAAGATAATAAAAACATCCTGATGTCTAGACACTAATATTAGTCAAGATCCAAAAAGACTGGATCCTACTTTTTCAGTCATGCAACAATATGTTCCCCTTTTTTCTGTGTTTCAACCTTCAATACTTATCAATTGTTACTTATTATATATAACGGTATCAAGAATATTCCATTCAGTCAGTCAACTCATGATGATTGTATAAGCGATGTGCTGTATAGAGTGTGGGACCAGGAAAAGGTTAAGCAGACACACATTTACGTGCATGCACTAGAAAAGCACAACAGATCTTTTCAGGCTAAACGGTCATGCCCAGTATCATGATCCCATACAATAAAATGTGTCTCATCTGATAGCAGAAGGACGTCCAGCAGCAGCTCAGCCTGCCCCTCTTCCTCTCGCCCAACTTTGACCTCCGGGCCCACGTGGAGTCTCTGGGTCACGGAGTGACCGGCTGCACGGACCTGCGGCTGACGCCTCGAAGCTGCGGAGGCTTCCTGACCAAACGAGGAGGGAGAGTAAAGACCTGGAAGAAGAGGTGGTTCCTGTTTGACATGGACCACAAACGACTAGCCTACTATACAGGTTAGACTGGCGGGGAGAGTGGTGTGTACACATACTTATTGCTTGTTTGCATGAATGTGTGTCGCACTAACTCGGTAATGTTGCAATGTTGTAATGTTTTTCATCTATATCCTCCATTTCTTTGTTGTGCATTCTATTGTATTTCCCTGGAAAAAGTTTCATTTAAGAGAAAACAACTTAAAACTGGCTATATTATTTACTTATATGTAACTTCTTTATGCAGTCAAAAGAATGAGGACTTAAGATGATTGTAAATCATTTTTAAATTCATAATAAAGTTGCAGAGTAGTCATATCTTTTATGACTTGAATAGGTCCATCAAGTCCTAGTGAGTATGTTGTCACCACTTTTTTTTTCCTAACTTGTTTCTCCCTTTTTGCTGCAGATTGCGATGAGAGGAAGCTAAAGGGAGTCATCTACTTCCAGGCCATAGAAGAAGTTTACCTTGACCATCTACGAACGGCCGCTTCTGTGAGTTCTACTGCACCAACACACCAACTGACTCAGGAAAATCTCTCAAACCCTGTGAAGTGATTCATCCGGCTGGAGGGTCTGTGCCAAATCTCTGGACTGTATAACCCCCAGGGCAACAATTTTATAAATGCAGTTTAAATTGGACTTCTGGAGTCTCAAATATGATGTACAAGCCAGTTTAGCCGAGTCATGATCCCAATCCCAAAAATAAAAAAAGTTTGTGCCTCAGAAAACATATTGTTACAGCTCAGTGCACATCTTCGGTTGAGGCCGCCAGCTGAACTAGAATCACCTTTAGAATCTTTTGTGGCGTATCCATAAGACATAACGTTTGAGGTTGCTCCCTCTCCAAATGGGTCATTGAACGGATTCTAGACATGGCGGATTTGCTTGGGATTAAAGACTCGGATGATCTCTGCAATTAGCGCATTAGAAATCAAAGGCCGGTGTCGGGTAACAGTAGTACTGCTGAGTAGACTAGAGCTTTATTTCCCGCTGGCAAGTCTCAGGTCTTAAAAAGGTGTCGCATGACTCCAGGTTCACCATTGGGTCAACAAGTACCACTGGAAACTCTGTCATTTACATTTTATAGCTGCTCAAGTAAAACAACGAAACAAATTGCCTGCAGGACATTTGCAGTTGTGGTTAACCAAGAAGTACATGTACTCAAGTATTGTACTATGCATTAGTACAATGCATAGTTACTTCAGCATTTCCATTTTTATGCTCTTTGCATTTCTACTCTACTGCATTTCAGAGTGAAATATTGTACTTGTTACTCCTCTACATTTAGTAGACAGCTATAGTTACTTTTAAAAGTTAGATTTTACACTAAAAATACACAATAAGGTTATGAAATACTATACAATATACATTGTTAAAGATTAAACGAGTATTTCAACAAAGAGACTTTCCCCTTCAAAACGTCTTAGATGGTTTCATTAAAATAACAGTTTGACAGAGGCGGTGAAATTATCCAATGTTTCTCAAAAACAGCAAATTATATGAACTTTTGTTTTTTCTTCTTTCCAGCCTCATTAATCATCTCACGACCCCTCAGATTTATCTTCTGACCCTTTGAAGGGGCCTGACCCCTACGTTGAGAACCACTGAACTAAACTACTAAACAGTATATTAAGTAGTTTAATATATAGAATTATAAAAAATAATTCTTTCAAACTAAAGCAGCCTGTTCTGCTTCTGAGAAAAATAAAGACAGAACCGTGAGAGCAGAAATTATAAAAAAAACGTACAAAAGATTTGTCTAATCTGTCTCATCAAAGTCATTTATTTTTAATAACTTTTGTGTTTCAGGTGAAAGAATGCAAAACCTCTATAGTGAGATTAGTGACATCGTTAAACAATCTTCAGTCAAAATGCTTCTTCTCCCTCATGTCTTTGTTGTTACTGTCACTGTTATCATTGTCACATTGTTGCTCGTCTGTCCCTTCTCTTCAGTCTCCGCGGCCCAGTCTGACGTTCTGCGTGAAGACGTACGACCGCCTTTTCTTTCTGGTGGCTTCCAATCCGGTGTCCATGCGGATTTGGATGGACGTCATCGTCACGGCAACAGACGAGCACAGCCGTTATTGACCTCTTGCATAATTGACTGTAAAAAAAACCTCGAGTGAAGCCACTGAGTGGACAATTGCAGTGAGCCGTTTCACTCGGTCCGAGGAGCTGGCTTGGCTAGAGATCCACCTCAGGCTCTGATTCTGCACCTGGACTGATGGATCTGTGGACGATTGTGCGATGCGGAGGTGCAGTGGTTCGATATGCCGGACAGATGTGCTCGAATCACAGCAGGGGAAACTGTTACTTGATGTGGCGGCAGAGGTTCACCGCTGAACCGGCTGCAAACCACAAGCAACTTAACACACGCGGTCTGCACACTGGGAGTCTGTTACTGGGAGGTTTCACTCTTCTAACCCTACCTCCACCTGCTGGACATAGTCCAGCATCACAGGACTGGTGTACAACACACGACCACACACTACAACAGGGAGTGGACACAATAATAGCAACACTGTACAATATAATGCAATCCAATATAACAACCTAGCAATAAAACCACCATGTTGATTTGTGCTGTGATCATTTTTTGTGTTGGATTGTTTTATACTGTCAGGTGTTTCCACTAATATGTCCATATCATGCATCTTTGTTTTATAAATTACATTTTCATGACTTAAGTTATTATTTGGAAATTTATATGGGTTTGATATGCAAATAAATGAAGGCATACACTGTTATGAATGCACTATTAAATGTTTATTTGTAAAAAAAAGTTAGCTGTACTTTGCTCTTTTTTTTTTTTCTATGTAAATATTATTGGCATCATCAAATAATAACAAAAGCTCCCAAAAGATATGTTGCATTTCTTTTTCAGTCTTTCATGCAGTCTTCATGGATTCATATTTCGCACCATTGCAATGTCTGCATTTGGTACCTTTCTTCCAGTAGTGCTTCTTGCAGTCTCAAGATATATATAATATTTCAACAATTACTAGTTATTGGTTTGGTGTCGAGTGCCCTATTGTTCCTCACTTTTAAATAGTTTTAACCAAATATCTCGATACACATTCTTCCGAGAAATTAGGGAAATCCCATCCAACTCATAGGAACATTATGTCCTACAGGAATATTTACTGTAGAAGTTTACAAACCATTTCCCAAAACACTGTTATTTGCTCTATATTCTTATTCCCAAAAAGATATGAGTGATCTATATCAAATGATGCACACACTCTCTAACATACCTGGCATCTCTGTAACTTCATACTTGTTTTCTTATTTAAAGTATCTGAACACTATCGACTATTTCCTTAACGCAGTGTGCACATTGCAGCACCAGTTGAACAATAAGCTGTTTTTTTTATTGACACACAACACAAACCAAACTTTTTTTTTTTATTATAAAAAGTTCCATGTGATCTTATTCATAACGTTCATCTTATCTTATGTTTGTCTGTTGACTTTCTTTTGTTTTTTTTGTTAAATATGAGAAACCACAGTTCACAGTATAAATCACATTTATATTGTATTACAACTTACTGGTTGGAGAACATTCTTGTGTGATTCCCTCAGAAACGAAGTGAGGAGACTAAACTACAGTAATGCATACTGTAGTCTACAGACAGAATCAACACCCTGTTGTGCTGATCGCCACTCCCCAGACACATCTTTCAAGAGCTGTGCCATCCAGACACACCAGCAGTCTGGCATGACTCAGTTGTTGGATTATTACCGCTGACCCTTCAATGCTGGTAAAACCTCTATTTGTTTCAGAAACATAGAATGAAGTATCAGTCCTGCATATACTGATCAAGTCAGGAGTTGTGTATTTAAATCTCAAATATGTTGTATATTTTTTGGCTGTAAGGTAAGACCGAACTTTCAGAAAACTCAAATGATTGCAAGCTGTAAAATGTCTGACTTACATTGTTAGTTCATACAGTAGATCTGTACATACAAACTTAAGTACATCAACTTAAGCAGTCCACTTAAACTATTTCAAACTACTGGTAGATTTGTAACATCTTTATCATTTGCCAGATTTGCATACTTTTACTCTGAATTTCATCTATTTTCTCTGCTATATTACTTTCCTTTACGTTATACAACACATTTACATTTTTTGTTATCCTTTATTTAACCAGAAAGACAAATATAAATAGCAATATCTGTTCTGCCAGGGAGTCCTGGTCAAGAGTAAGTAAGTCTTTCAGCTCATTCCAAGTGTGCTGTAATACAGTTAATGATTGATATGGTTAGTAGTTGTATATTGGTAGTAAACATCTTCATGTTTGCCTCATTTGATAAACTATCACTGGAGAGAAGCACATTATTCTCCAGCTACAGTAATATTATACTGTGACAATAACTGAATCTAATGTTCCCCTTGAAACAGGATTTATTCTGCATTACCCTGGCTATTCATATTATAATAGTAAACCAGAAAATAGAAATGAACAGATATCCCTTTGTGTCCAGTACTGTACCTCTCTGTAGGATCATCAACCTCACAAGAAAACATGACCGGTTCTAGAAAGGCTTTCCTCATATGCTGTCTACTGCAAGGTCGGCTTTTCCACATATTTGTGGCACATTTACTAGACTACTTGTTTGAATTCTTATTTTTGTGTTAACCATGGCAGGTATTTATATTGTTGCTATTGCTTCACCTCAGGTAGCTTATGCCAAGACTTTGCAGCCTTCCTGCCTCAGACAGTAGAGGGACTAAGTGGATCCTGTGTGATGGTCCCCTGCGCTTTCAGCTTGCTCTCAGGTTGGGATCACAACCTGGATGATTCCTGTAAAGCCATTTGGAAGAGAGGCTGGAGTCGAACGCAGGTGTTTGACTCCAGCCTCACCGGAGAACATGCAAGCTTAAACGTCCTGCAAGGAAACCTAACGGGCAACCTGCGGGAGAAGGATTGCACCGCCGTCTTCGACGACCTGCCGTCAGACCATTATGACAGATATTACTTCCGGCTGCAGTGTGACAATGATTTGAAGTTCAACTTTCCAACGAACGTCCTTATCACCACCCAAAGTTTGTGGAGTGTCCTGTTACTCTTACATGTACAACCCACATCCTTTGGTATCTCTCATGCCATTTCCTTGTTGTTTGTTTACTCCTCAGATTCAATGCCTAAACCTGCCATAACTCCATCCAGGCTAGAGGTAGAAGAAGGAGCCCCAGTGAGGTTGCACTGCTCGGCTGTAGCTCCCTGCCCCGTTCTTCCCCCTGCTCTGACTTGGACCCCCGCTATAGGTGACATTGAGGAGAACACAGAAACTAAATCTGTGACATCCGTTATGAACTTCACCGCTTCTTACCTCCACAATGGACAGAGGTTCTCGTGCACTGCTCTCTACAACCGACAAGCTGGCAACAGTGACCTTCTGTATGAAAGAAGTTTGACCCTCCGTGTTCTTTGTGAGTAGGTTTCTATAGATTTCTATGAGATATTTTTATATTGTGGAAAATACACATATTCAATTTATTGTCTCTAGACTCTAGAGCTAGATGAGAAGATTGATGCCACTCTCGTATCTGTTAAATATGAAGCTACAGGCAGCAGCTGGTTAGCTTAGCTTAGCACAAAGACTTGAAGCAGTCTAACAGCTGGCCCGGCTTTGTCCGAAAGGCAAAAATCTGTCTTAAGCTCACTAGATTTTCAAAATTCTCTTCCAGATCCTCCAAATAACACATCGGTCAGCTACTCCGGTCCTGTGAAGGAGGGCAGCTCAGTGACCCTGACCTGCAACACCAACGCAAATCCAGCCGTGGACAGTTTCGCCTGGTACAAAGTGGATGGAGATCAGGTGACAGCAGTGGGTTCTACGAACAGGCTTTCAACTACGGTCTCCGAAGTGGACAGCAAATTTTACTGCCAAGTCAGCAACGGATATGGAAACCAGAACTCATCCACCACTCAGATAGACGTACAATGTAAGTTAGAGTGAAACAGAAACACAGATGACACATTTTGACCAGCAACATGGACTGAACCCATACTTGTGTGTCTTTTTTCCAGTTCCTCCCAAGGAAACCACAGTAATCGTCAACCCCAGCGGTCCCATACTGGAGGGCAGCTCTGTTTCTCTGCTCTGTAGGAGCCGTGCGAACCCACCCGTGACCAACTACACCTGGTACAAAGATGACGAAGAGGATGAGGAGCCTGGATCAACCTGGGTTATCAACAGTGTTGACCCGAGCCACAGTGGTGACTACCACTGTGTGGCAAAAAACGAGCTGGGAGAGGAAATGTCCGCACCGACTCAGCTGGACGTTCAGTGTAAGTTGATTTTCCACAGTAAGGACATTGATTTACACTGATGACAAACAACAAAACTGTATGTTTCCAGTTTGTTCATATGCTGAATATGGCTCTACTGTTCATCCAGCTGTGGCCACCCGAGCACTATCTGAAGCCAAGTCTCAGAGCGCTACACGACAGTGTCTGGACTGTGGACAGTAACACATTGTTGCATCGCGTGACAAAACCACAAAATCCTTTCTATGTCAGTGGTCCATCATGACTGAGCTCTGTTGTACGTCCACATGTGTGCTAGTGTGTAAATGTATGTGTAGATGTTTTGTTTGGTTTCTGTCCTTATTCAGACGTCATTTCCAGAAAATGAAAGTGTTCTCTCTGCCTTTGAGTTTCTCTGCATACTTGGTGATTTATTTATTTTACTTTCCGCTTCTCAAATTGAAGTTCATGTTCTCTTAAACCCTGACCAGTGAAGTGCTGTTGTCCTTGCAAGAGATGGAAATTTTTGGCACCATATCTGGTTGTGTTTATGTTGTAAATCTGAGTCCGCCATCACTGGTCTAGAAAACCCTATTTTTTTCACTCCAAAAGCCCCCAAAAAGAAAACTGTGAATATTGTCATAATCTCAGTATCATCCAACACTCTTTTTCTGAAAGGTATCACATTGTGTGACACCAACTTAAGGTCCTGAATCAAACCATGAAATTACAAGTCTTGACAGCCCAAAAACCTGTTGTGAATCAACTTAAAAAACATTTTTTGGGGGAAAATTGATTATGTATTCCCATTTAAATGAGCAAAAACCTTGGATGACTAACACAAGCACTTATCTTTTCAGATCCCCCAAAGAACACCTCAGTGTCAGTTGACCCCTCTGGTCCAGTGCTGGACGGCAGCTCCGTTACTCTGACCTGCGCAAGCATCGCCAATCCAGCAGCAGTTAACATCACCTGGTTCAGAGTGGCTGCAAGAGAAAAGGAGGCGATGGGCTCTGAGCGAGACTTCACTTTCAATGTGACCAAACTCTCGGAGGATCAGTACTACTGTGAAGCTCTGAATGTCCATGGAGCTGAATACTCAGAGCTTACCAATATTGATGTCACATGTGAGATTTATTTATCTATTCATTTTAAGCCTTTATTTTTCCCAACATGTTTGACAAAGCGTGTACAAATAGACAATTGCCTTTTTCCATCTCAGTTGCTCCAGAGATTCTGCCTTCTTCACGCTGTGTCAAGATTTTATCCCTGATCCGATGTTCCTGCGACAGCCGGGGGAACCCACCTCCCTCCCTGATTTGGGAATTGGCTGGGGAGGCTGTCAATCACTCTGCCGCCATCCCAATCAAGGAAGTTCCTCTTGGGAGTGTTGGTAGGAGGAGCCTAATCACCCTGTACCATCTGGACGAAGGCATGCCCTCTCTAGCCTGCCTCAGCATCAACTCACTGGGCTCCCACAGTTTCGTATTCAACGTGTCCTCCAGCGAAACTCAGCTAGGTAGAGGAATCTGCACGATGTTGCATTTATATTTGGCATTTCTTTTGTATGATCTGGCGCTCTCTGGTTTTACTGACTGATATGGTTTGTGGGGACTTTTCAGGCCTCCATGCTTTGTCTCTATTAATCGGCTCTTCAGCGGGAGCCCTGGGGATGCTGCTGGTGTGTGTCCCACTGTTGCTATTCTTTTGCAGGTGAGAAACATGAAAACACAACTGAAAAGAGAGCAGCTAACACCCTTAATGCTTTACTGTTAACAGGACATTTTGGAAACTGGTTTCAAAATGAGACAAATGCATTTTGAGGTTGTCGTCAGCGATGTGAGCGATTTCAGTGAGCAACCACAGAACATTGCTAAATACAACCATTAAATAAATAGGAGACTTGTAAAATACTGCACATAAACTATTGCTTTTTTGTGTTGGTTGTAGGAAAAGGAAAAGAAGCCTTTCACCAAAAAAGGGATTAGTGGACACTTCCGACGTTTTAGTTGCTAACGGGGTGAGTTTATGTCTTACATTTTCATTTTGGTGAAAACATACAGATGCATGAAAACAGGAACCTTCACACATCCACAACATTTAAAGTAACAGTCAAACATTTCAGTATAGTATGTCAGACAAATATCAAAACGGCAAAATATAGTATGTCAGAAAAATGTCATCGTATAGTATTGCATTAATGTCATGTGTAGTATGCCATAAAAAAAACTATTCTAGTAAACCAAATCCTAATATAGTATTTCCTAAAAAACGTCATAGTATAGGATGCCATTAAAAAAAGTCAAATCATCATGCCATAGAATTAAATCAAATTAAATTACCAGCTGTGGTGAACTTGAATTCATGTCAGTCACACTACATTTGCAAAGATGAGTGTAGAACTGCAGCATCCTCTTCTCCCTCCATATACTTTGCATCTTCCAAATACTGTTTTTGCTGATTGATAGCTTGACACACTTTTTTTCTCTCTGATGCTGAACTGGTTGCCGGTACTAAACTAATTAAGAATTGTTTCAAACTCTATGATATAGAATTTTTTTTTGTGTACTGTGAACAAAATCTAGCCGACTCTCGGGCGTATTGTTCAGTCTTACTTAAAAGATATAAAGATAAAATGTTGGTTTAAATGGAGGTTATGCAATCTAATTGGGCGAAGTAAAGAGAATTACTATCTCTTCTCCTCTCCATTACTAAAGTACATCTCTTGTTTTCTTGTAGACCAACTCATCAAAAGTGGATGTGATTTATGACAATAAAGCCACTCTGGAAGAGGAAGGAATAGTTGCGGAAGATACTGTTCACTACACCAATGTGGACTTTGCTAAACTCCAGGCTATGTCAGAGGGTACGCTTGGGGAAGGCGAGATCAGAGGCCTGGCCTCCAAGACGGCCGAGTATGCTGAGATCCGTCTGCACTCCAGAGGAAGCAATGAAGGAGACGCAAAGGAAGAAGAGACAGTCGCTGACGCCTATTTGGGAAAAGGGAAAGACACTGATGGTCTCATAGGATAGGTCAGTGAAAGAGTTATGGCTTAACTTTAAAGGAAATGATATCCGAAACAAAGAAGTCTGGACTTCAAACAGCTACAGGACTTTACCATGTCAGGAGAGCTCGGTCTGCAGCAGTGGAGGTAGAAACTACTGCAGACAACCTTATTTAACGTGAGTAATGTCACACACTTGTGGCTTCAAGTTTCGCTCTCACCATGAAATGAAATCCATATAGTAGGTAGTTACCCCACAATCAACCATAACAGTAAATGTTTCCTTTAAACTTCTGACCTTTATTCTTCTGTGTGATTCAACACTACAGATAAATGCTGCCACGTTTATCATGTTACCGTTTGTATCCAATATTCTAATTGTAACTTGTGTCTCACAGTTCTGTTGATTTATTTAAAACCTTTGTGCAGAGTGAAGATGTCAGAGTATGTCACACTTTTTTTTTATTAATCATTTTGCATTTGTTTTCTCTTAAAATACATAAATATGTTTGAGCTTGTTTATAAAAAGACGAAGCTATTAAGTTGGCAGTTATACAAGAGCTGAATTCAAAGCCTGTTATGAAATGGGGCATTATGCACGTGGCGCATTGTTTCCGAATGCATATTTTGGAAACAAGCCTCAGTAAGGGAACTGCTGCATAACATTACAACATTAAAGCCATGTCATCTTGTACTGTTCACAAATGTCATAGTAATATCAATACACTTTACAAATATGTTCATTTATCCATGCATTGGTCACTTACAAAACATCAGAGTAGAGTGATACAACCCTTATTCATCGATTGGCTGTACCTCTAAAGTTTGGTAAGAGTATCTCAACTATCTCAAATTTTGACCTCAGAGTACTGTGTCTCATCTTCATCAGAGCTGCTGGAGTCTCTGACGACTCGCTGATGTCCAGGCTTGACCTTGAAGCTCACCTGTGAATAATTGACCTGTACTTCATCCTCACTGGTGTCTGTGTCATAGTCTATTGGATTTGGAGCTCTGGCTGCGCTGGCGTTCTCGTAGTCCGGTCTGTCTTCATTCTAGGAGAATAACAGAGATTGTCACCAGATCATTTGTGTCATAACTTATTATAGTATATGGATTTTATGCCAGCAAAAATTCACATCAACACACATTTAATGCTTGTGAGGACTGGAAGATGTTTTCCTTAATTAAGTGATTGCTTTACAGGGAATTAATTCAATTAAAACAGGAAACGTCTTCTTTACAACAGTATTGTGGACACACCGATGTGATATACAGGACATACTTCTTCTATTCTAGATTTTGAAAGGTAGCATTTGTGTAATTTATTATATCAGGAAGCACAAAATAGATCAACCAACATGATTTAGACATTATTGCCATGATAACACATAAGTATTTGGTTTATAGGTTTCTGACCTTTGTTGGTGGCTTTTTCTTGGACACCTTCGCATACACATCTTCCACGTTTGCCGGAAGAAGAACTTTGTTTCTAGAACAACAAATACCATCATAAATATTACATATCACATATATTTGCCATGTATTAATACCTTTCTTGTTATTGTTGTTGTGTCTTAAATAAAAAACAGATTCTCACTTTTGCTTATTTCCAAAGTGTAAAGAAGCGTAGTTGAGAGAATCGTCCTGTGTGTGTCCACCTTGCTGTCTGATTATTTTTTGTGCAGGACGACCCTGAGCAGAGACAGACAGAAGACATCAGTGAATGTACTGTAACGAATGAATCAGTTAATTCATGCCTTGAACAACAAGCTGTAGGTCCTCTGGTCATTCATTGCTCCACAATACTGAATGGTTTCTGTGAGGACAGAGCTACAGCACAGTGGCCAAAGCAACTTCAGCTTGATCATTGAAAGACACATCCGGCTCTCTAAAATAGAGCTACACAAACGATAAAGGCCAATACAGATGTTTGCATAGTGGTTTTGCAAACACTAATATTTGTGTTTTATGTGTTTAACTTATATTGTATGGATGCTATAAAAAAGTCATAGTATGATACGCCAAAGTAAAATGTCAGAAGAAAATGTCAAATGCAGTCTTAGTATTGTATGCCTGAAAAAAAAGTTATATTAAATGTCATAGTAACAGTCAGTATAGTATTCCACAAAAATATCATAGTATTGGTATAAAAAAAAAATAGGATTAAAAAAATGTATGGTATGCCATGAAAATATCATGGTAAATTATCATTGACTTCTGAGTCATTCAAGAATTGTAACTTAAAACTTATTCAAAAACATATTTTACATGCGGCCCTTTTATTCTTCTGTGTAAAATGTTCTGAAAAATGTCATTAGAAAAGTCCCAAACAGCCATAGTATAGCACGCCATAAAGAAAAGTCACCTTAATTGATACTAAATTGATCTCAAAATGTTTAATACTTTTTAGGACCCTGTGAACACCCTGCAGGAAAGATGGACAACATTATGGGATTTGCAGAAAAGAAAATGCAGTCGAGGCAGAAATGTCTTGATTTTTTCTGCCTGAACACTGGCCCCGATAATTTCCATAGCAAGACCTTCTCCACCCGGTAAACACCGACATCTTTCATTCTGTAGTTTCTGTTTGAACCTATAGTTTCCAAGCCCAGGCTGAGATAACCATTAAGACATCACCAGGTTTTTTTCTCAGACTTAAAAAAAAGCTCCATTCCAGGCTAAGTAGTACTGATGACAAGTACTTAAGTGTGTAATTGGTAGATTACCTAATAATAAAACAATTTACTTCTTAAATTGTGTTTTTTAGTAAATTCTTCCATATGCAACTGCTTTCATGTATTGTTTTCTGTGGAATTTTAAATTGCTTGACTCACTTGTTGTCCGGAGGGCAGATTCACAGTACTGTAAACACTGTTGATGTTGGATGCAGGCCTGTAGAACAACAATGGCGGCAGGAATAAAAACACGCATACTCATAATAAATGACAGGGAGGACTGTCATTGTGCCATTTGTGTCTGAAGGTTCTTAAATGGATGCTTTGAGTGCAGCATGAGCAGCATCATCCAACTCTCTGTCCCACAGAGTGTGCCTTGTCCTGAGTGGGGACTGTGTGTGTGTGTGTGTGTGTGTGTGGGGCTGCTGTGTTACGTGCTGTCTGGACGAGGCTGGCATCGTTGGGCATTGGGACGGTGCGTCTGGTCTGGCAAGAGGTCATCTCTGCTCCTGAAAGGCTCTACCATACCGGGGTTGCTCATCCGATTCCTCCTCCCGGCGCCATTCCACCAACCCTGAATTGTTTTACACCGACACATAAACGCAGAGGGTCAGTTTTTTCTGGATCTGTTCGATAAAAAAGTAGAAAAAAAATTGCACAAATGAGTCATCACCAGAAAACCAAAACAGGGCAGTGTGTTCGTAGTTCCTTGTTGCTCTAATCTCTTCTTCTTGTGTCTGAAAACATAAAGGGACATGATAGTGGTTGTATACACCAATTATACATGCCAAATCATCTCTGAAATGTATTTGTTTTCATACTTTACCTGTAGACAATGACAATCGAGAAAATGAGCAGAATAATAACAAAAAGGATGATGAGCAGGGTCTTCCTTACGTTTCCTGTGGTTAGAAAAGAAAGCATCAGTACGTAGACACAGATGTGTGAAAAAGAAGTATAGTTTTAAACGGCTGTGATTTAATCAGATGAAGAAACGGCCTTGAAATTCACTCACGGTCAAACAGACGGACTGGGTCAGACGATCTTTGACCCATTTCATTCTTTGTGATGCAGTAGTAGACTCCCGGTTGGTCTGAATACACTATGTAGTTCTGTTGGTCAGACACCTTTTCATCCCTTTCCTCAGTCTTCATCTTATGCCATGAATATTGTGCGACTTGGGGATAGCTCTGACTGCTGCAGCTCAGCGTCACAGAACGTGTCCCGTCAGGATTCTGATGCTCTGCTACTGTTGTGATCTTTGTGTGCTTTGGAGCATCTAAGCAGGGACATTTAGGATAAAATGATTTACTCAATATCTAAGTGTTCAAAGATCATACAGCAACGACAGCACAAATGAGAATATAATCTAAAGCTTCTGTGTGTAGAATTAGAAAATTTCCTTTTGGCATCCCCCAGTGGTTTTTAAAAAGAGACACTGTGGCAAAGCAATGAATCGCCCACACCATTTAACGTATGCCACAAGAAGAACTGAAAGATGCTGCAACCTCAAATCCTCAAAACCTACAAATCCTCACAGAGTGGCTTTAGATGTACTTATTGTAATGTTTGTTTAGCTTTCTCTGCAATTGAATGAATAGACGCTATAATTAAAAAAAACTGTTGTGGTTGTTATTTTTACTTGGGGGGGATTTGAGGGCAGACATGTGATTTAAAGAAATGTGTCAACCAACAGCTATTCTCTACATCACATTAAATGGTACCCTCAGAGTTGTTTTTTTTAATATATCCAATAGCGCTATGGAGCAATGTTTTTGCAGTGCACTTTACTGCCAGGTTCCAGGTTTGCTCAGTTACTGACAGCTGATAGTAGCAGCGCACCAAAACATGTAGCGATGCGCTAGAAAAAGGAGCCAATGTGGATCTAAACAGTGACAAATCATAAAGAATTCCACATTCAGCATGTTTACGAGGCTGTGTGGATTCACAGTGTGTTTTGGGGAGAGACACTGAATGTAAACGTATCTCCTTGTGTGTCTTTGCACCATCCTGAATGCATCAGTCTACTCACACTTGACTTTAACCTCAGTTTGCTTCGAGTTTCCAGTTCCAATGTCATTACTGGCTTCACAGCTGTACAGTCCGCTGTCGGAAGGACTGACAGAGTTTAGAGTGAAGGTCTGAGTCCTCTGGAGGATTTTACTCTTGCCATCAGTCACCTTCATCCAGGTGACAGAGGTCACGGGTGGGTAGGACCGAGCGCTGCAATCTAGAGTCAACGACTTGTTCTCATCCACAACGAGGGCAGGCTGAGCTTTTACGGTCACGTCTTTGGGACAATCTGCATTTACCAAAAAAAGATTGTAAAAAAGAGAGGAGTCACGTATAATGGACGGCATAGTTATTACTATCAACAAAAACATTTAACAACTGATTAACATCAATATACAATATACTATAACTGTTTTAATTTAGTCAGAAGGGGACAATTCAAGGTATGTCTTGGTACAATAAGGTGGTAGATTATATAAACAGGGAAACCTCCACACCTGTACAATGCATTCCTATGTACAATTACCTCACAACTTGGAGAGAAGTTGATTTAAATGTTGTAATTTTGAGGCCATAGTTTGTGGTGGAGGTGCATTATATGTAGGTCTATTTAACTGAATACACCACTGTGTAAAATGTACACAGTGGTGTCTTCAGCTAAAAATATTTAATTAAAATTAGCAATACTACACTATAGAAATACTCCATGACAAGTAGAATCCTGCATTTATAATTGAACTAATGCAGTACAATAGTCTTAGCCGGAAAATGCAATTCACGTATCAGAAGTAAAAGTATTCATTAGTATTTCAATGTCTAATGCTAGTTTGAACTACTTTATATACTGTTGCAGTTTATCTATAACAGTGCATTATATTTTCTCATTTAATGTTTTCGATGTGAAATCACAATTTTCAAAGTAACTAAACTGTTCATCAAATATACTTAGTGGAATATAAATACAAGTCTGAAAAAAATGCAATAAAAGCACATGTACCTCTAAACTGTACTTAAGTACTCAGTGTAGTACTCGAGGAAATAGATGTAGTTACTTTTTGCCATACATTTTACAGTTGTATAAGCTGCTCATTGTACATTACGGTTCATTCAGAACCACGACACTTGACATGTAATCAGAATGACTTATTTTCACATGGAAAGAATAGAAAATAAAGATCTACTTTGGCCATTTGAATTTAAGTTGTTTTTCTTTTCTTACTGAGATCGAATGATTATAACTTTATGGAAAGATTTGGTTTTGATGATTTGTTTGATCAGCAAAAAAACAATGCACCACTGAATTACTCACAATTCACCACCAACTTCTTCCGCTCGCTTGTCTTTGAACCTTCCCCGTTTGTGGCGTCACAGGTGTAAAAGCCTGTGTGGGTTGAAGTTACATTAAATGCATGCTGGAGAGTGTTGGGAGACCCATCTGCATAAGGGTGAGTGACATGGAATTGTGAAGACTGAGGATTTGATTCAGAAGTCCGTTTAAAAATAAGCATCGAGAGTGGGAAGCTTTCAACAGTGCATCTGATGGTGATGAGCTGACCCTCCCTGACCTCAGTATCCATAGACAGCGTGAGCTTGGTGGGAGGATCTGTAGAGAGAAAGCAGCTGTAAGATTTTCAAGAGGATTCATTCATTGTTTAACATGATAGTATAGCAGCAGTCCATGAAGAGGAGGTCAACTTATGTCTAAAGAGCAGTGAAAAGTTTTACATTTCAGGTAATGCACTCATGTCTGTCTGTTGAATATAGGCCCACAACTATCAGTAATGTAGCTTAGCTTAGCACAAGGACTGGGAACAGATGGAAACAGCTAGCCTTGCTCTGTAGCAAAGGTAAGAAAGACGGCCAATTGGCATCTCTACAGTTCACTAATCAACAAGATATATCTGTTTTGTTTTTCTATTTGTATAGATTGTTTGAATCAATCAGGCGTAAATGCTGATTTTCTAATGATCAAACTTGATGTAGAAATTTTTAAAAAATACTTAAATATCACAGAACATAGTCAGCATTACATAATTACTTACAGAGTACATTTATGCACACTAGCTCACTATCGTCCCCTGTATTGATGCTGTTGGTTGCATTGCACCTGTAACAAGCATCATCTGTTCTTTTTACTGTGTCCAAGCGTAGTTCTTTTTTTGTAGTTGTCTTGGACTTCCACTGTGAGGAGTCAATCTGTTTGTTGTTGTTGTTGTGTCGGTACCAGGAGTACCTAAACGGGGCAGGATTGGCCTCAGTGTTACAATATAATGTAAGAGATTTACCAACTCCCACACTTTTATCATTTTTACTGGTGGAAATTGTTGTCTGCCTCGGGCCGTCTGAAAGAAAGAGTTAACTGTTAGCATACTTTCTGTGGTGATACATTCTGTGGATTTATTTAATTTTCTCGGTCATCATCAACTCTCTGACATACATGCAGCACAAGGAGCTGTGGAACTTACATTTAACTTCAATTTCCAATGGCACTGATGTTCCATTTCCCACAGTGTTAGTGGCTGTACATGTGTAGGAGCCTCTGTCCTCGGGCTCGATCCCCTCAACAACATACGACTCATGTGTCTGCTTCTGAGCAACAGCTTTCCCATCTTTTAACCAATCGTAGGTGTGAGGTTGTGGGTTGCTTCTCTTCACATTACATGTCAAAGTCATTATATCTCCTTGTCTAAATATGGAAGGTGACTTCAACTCAACTTCAGGAACATCTGAAACAGAAGATTTCATTATTTCTTGAGGCTGAATCACAATGAGAATCCTCAAAGATATCTGTAGTGAACATCAACTTAATAATTATCGTTCACAATTATACGTTTCTTTTTTTAAAATACCATATGAAAATATCAAAAAAGTAGAGTAGTATTCGAAGAGTTAGAACTACTAAGAACCACAAACTCAAGGAATTAAGGAAATTAAGGAAAACATAAGAAATACTCACATTTAACATTAATATTGACTGGTTTTGATTGTATTGTTCCCCATTTGTTTTTAGCTTCACAATGGTATTCGCCATTCTGTGACTCTGTAATTGATGTGATCTCCAATACTGCCTCTGTTCCAATTACATCCTTTTTATTTTTGAACCATGTGAAGTTTGGTTCTGGACGTCCTTTGGCGGAGCAAGTGAGAGCCACAGTTCGTCCTTCCACAACGTTTTCAGGGCTTATTTTAGCCGATGTGTCTTTGGGAGCATCTGTGTAAACACATTCAAAACAAGTCAGGATAAATCAGTCAACACACAGCAAGTTTGGGTGGATTGTTTACAGAAATGAAATATGAATAACAATAGAGCCGGAGTATATATATCCTTCTCAGATACAAAATGTAAAGATGCATGCAAGTGCAATCAGCTGCCAAAAATGTACTTCATTTATTTATCTTAATATTATTACTGAAAACCTCAAGACAGAGTAAGTCTGCTTGCTAATTCTGATCATAAAAGAAGGAACATTTAAAAGTAGCACTTTTTATACTTAAGTGAAAGTACAAAAGTATTAGCATCACAATGTATATAAAGTACAAAAAGTAGTCAATATGCAGAATGGTCAATTTCAGAATATACATATTATATTGAATCAAAATGAATGATGCATTAATGCAGTGGTTCTCAAACTTTTCACACCCCACTTTGGAGGAAGAAAAATGTTCATGCCCCACCACCCACAAAAAATAGCTTATTGTGGCTGCAATTCACCTGTTTTGCACTGAATATCTTTCTAAGATAATAACAATAAACTGCGAAAAACTAAACAAAACAAGTTCAAATATTTGGCAATAAAGAGTTTTACTGAGTTTTACACTGCATATCTTTTCAAAACAACAATAACGTGCAACCTGTGCAAAACTAAACAAAACGCTCCAGATATGTGTCACACATATCTGGAGCGTTTTATTTTAAATATGAGCTTTAAAATGTAGCGTTCTAAAAGTAAAATAGCTGTGATTTAACAGCACGTGGGACTGTTGGGACTGTTGGTACACTGGCTGTGGTCATCACAGTGAACAGTGTGATGAGAGGGCACGTGAGCCCTTGTTGCTGTACTTTATCTCCTTGGAGCAGAGGCTACATTTAGCATACCCTGCCTTATCAATGCATTTAAAACACTGTGACAGCAGGAAGCTGTACTCACGTCTGTTTAGACCTCCACCTTTATCCAGGCCCAGCTCCACTCACATCTCAGCCCTGCGTCAAGCTGCGCTACACACACAGCCTCCTCTCCCTGAAGCTCTTTGACCTCATCATCTCATCCTCATTCTACTTTGAGTTAAAACAAACAACCTGCAACCAGATCCGCCGGTGTTCTGGTTTAACGTTAATGAGTGACCGCGTGAACTGAACCGGAACACGGGGGGGGGGGCTTAATGTTTCATCACGTTACGTTTTTTCCTCCTAAATCGTGATAATGACGAGCGTTAACAGTCCACGAAGTTCCGCATGCAGTGGACGTTAACTTAACCCAGTAAGTCTGAACGGTAACGGGACATAACGTAACTTAAACTGTAACGGAGGGAAAGACGGTGTAGACATCTTAACGCTGATTGGCCAAGACTCGACACGTCACATCAGAGATGTTTTATTGTGAAGATCACGACATCACCTTTTCTCCTCGTCTCACACCAATCTGAGAAACGCTGGCTGGCCAGTTGACCGCCCCCCCAAAAAAAAACCCCTCTACGGATCTACACGATTCACGTGGATGATATATTTTGATTCAAAACGGCGAATTTCGCCGAAAAGCGACAAGTTTGCAGGTATGAATAAAGTTCTTGAAATAAAAAAATTCTGCATTTCCCCCCTGCGCCCCACCTGCAATACCTCCGCGCCCCACAGTTTGAGAACCACTGCATTAATGTCTACATCACTTTAATGTTGCAGCTGATAAAGGTGGGGCTTATCTATTTTACTATATATTCAGCTGGGTTACTTGTGAATTTCACCAAGGGATCAATAAAGTTTTATCTAAGTTACCGTCCATCACCGGTAACGGTAGACAAGACATAAATAAACTACATTCGTGAACTTACATTCAACAGTTAAACTGATATAGCGAATCAAATTCTTGTCTGTGGCATCTGTCTGGCATGAAAACTCCTTCCCATCATCCTGCCAGTTGACAGTAAAACTGACTGTGGCGCAGTTCTGCTTTCCATTAATTTGTTGAGGCGCTGGGAGCGGAGTTGGAGACAGTTGTGTCAAACCTCCAATCTTTGGGCTTGAAGGACACGAACTCAAAGTGGAGCATGTGAGGTTTATAGTGTCAGATTCGTTTACGACAGGCGGTTTCTCAAAAGTGATCAGGCACGGATTCTCTGAAAGTATATAAATGAGACAATATCAGCAGAAATATCACGGTGAATACACAGAATAGCCAGTGTTAGTAAACTATAATCAATTCAGTACAAATAAATATTTTTAACAGAATAATCAGTTTGAAAAGAAAAGACACAATGTTTAAATACAATCTCTATATTTTGAGACAGTTTCCACAAAATTGCAATAATAAACATTTAGTGAGTATGAGATCAGTAGCCTCATATTAAGGTTGTTGTAGTTGTTTGGTCAGATAACTTAGTATTGGGTGTAATAATCAGACATTACAGTGAAACAATTCATAAAAGGGGAGCTCGGATGGACTGACAAACCCCATATGACAATAGAGAAACATGGGCTACGTTTATGATGACTGGGTTGATTTAATGACTGTTTGGTGTCAGTCAAACAGGCAGCACTGGTATACCTGTATGTGTAAACAGGAGAGCTAAACCTGTCAGCTTGTTATGTACAATCAATACGGCATCAGAAGCCCACTGACATACAGGAGGAGGGAGAGCTGGCTCCATTCCGATTCTTTTACATTTTTGAAATTGTTTACACTATGACATCATGACTCCGTCATAATGTTTTGACGTCCTGTAACAGTAGGACTTTTAACTCTACAATTATTTGTCTCAAAATATAAAAATGTATTCTTGACTTTTTTTTGTCAAACATTTATCATATTACTGAGTCTCAACTCAACCAATCCAATCATTTCTGCCTCCAGACCAGCTCATCTCTTAATATTTGAATAACTCATTCATTGCTATCCATTTTCTGAAAATATCTTCCAGTATTCAGGATTACCTTTAACTTCTAGCCTCACTGGTTTGGTAATCCATTTTAGTTTTCCAACAAATCTGAAAGCATAGTCTCCATTGTCAGTTTTTTTCAGATCACAGATTGAAATACTGCACTTTTGTAAGGTTTCAAGATAACTGTTCCAACTTGAAGATAGAGAACCGATATATTTCACTCTGTCTGCAAAGTCTGTACTGACAGGACGTTCTGTGATATTCGTGCTGTAAATGACAGTGCCAGTCAAAACTGTTGCATCCCACTGTCCATCCTTTATCCAAAACAAGTATGCACCAACAGCATCAACCCTACAATTGACTCTGCATTTGATTTCAATGCAGGACCCCTCTTTAGCTGTCAGGTGAGTGGCTTCGAGTTTGAAGAGGACTTGTTGGTCACAAGTAAAATCTGTGATGGTGAAAACACAAGTGGAAAAGTCATAATGTAAGTGACTTACATTATTTAATACAAATCTTCTTAAAGTATACATTGTTTTCACAGTGGAGTAATACAATTCATACTTTTTATTACTGCCAGAAATACCAACCACCCGACTGTCTGAGCATTCATTTTTGTGTGGCACTAAAGCTTGATATCTGAAACACAAAAACAAAACAAAGACATTTGTGTACATTAGCTATTCTGTTTTCTTCTTCCTTTTTTTCCATTTCATTTTTCAAGTTCTTTGAGTGTTTATTTCCTCATTTCAAGATTGTTGAGAATTCTCTAGCAGTGCAAACATATAAGTGATCTTATCTTTCACAACTTGCAAAATGTCATGTTTGACAAAAAAAAAAAAGATATTAGGCAAAATATTAAGGCTCCATGTTGTTGTGATTCCTAGCGTAGTTGTAATTATTGTGACTTGATACATCAGAAGCCAAACATTACATTTTAACGGTGTACTGGTTCAGTGTCTACTTGGAGGAATGTCGATGGTATTTGACATCAGCTGTTTGTTTCACTTTCTTTTCTGCTTCATCAGCCGTACATTTAAAGAAGACCCATAATACACTTAGAGTGCAAACAGTACAATTCATTTATTTTACAAATTCTGTCATTTATCGCCCCAATATTGATACAGTGTTTTAAAGGCTTCATATACAGTAAATACTTCACTTACAAATGCCACTGTATTCTTGTGCATACAGCAAGAAGATAATTTGCTGGAGAAAGTTGAATCCAAATCACTGATAACTTAATACGTTTTCACATTCAATGAAAAAAGAAAAATACTCAACTCTCTCTAGACACAGACATCGTATCACCTTGATGATTGAAATAAACCTTCACAGACATAGATGACTTTTTCAGTTATATTATGCAGTCAAATAGAAAGAAAGGTATCAAAATAAGCTTGTTCGTACCTCAGATGATCCACTTAAAGCAATTTGTAGCACACAGCATCCCTCCTACAGTAAGAATAAGATTAAGAAAAGGAAGTTTTCACAGTTGACTTAAACTCTTGTAAAATTTGCATGCCCCATCATGCAAGCCAGAGAACACAATCTTTTATAGTTGTACTGATGAAAATGTTGTAGTATGTTCTCCTTACACTTGCCCGCTGCGTGCATCTTCCTCTCACTTCCTCTTTAATGCTTTTTTTTTCAATCGTGAACATTACAGTTCAGGGAGGACCAACTCTATTACAGGCACTGATCAGCACTTACAGTATTTGACATCTATTTGCAGGATGCATGCTTACACAATATTTATAGTGTCCTTTAGTACTTCAAGTTCATCAAAATAAGTGAAAACTTTTCAAAAGTTTTCTGAAGTACTGTGTAAATAGTGCATTTCTCATATTGCAAAACATTAAAGTAAAGGGAAACCACACATAAACAGGAAACCTTGCACAAAGACAAAAACAACAGACTTCACTTCCCCTCCTTAATAACAGCAGCCACAATCTTCTCGGCATCAGCCGCCATTTCATCGATGGCACCGTTTAAAGCTTGCAGCATGGCAGTGAAGGAGCGGCTGGCAGAACGGGCATGTCTGGGCATCGCCATCTCCACCAACTTCGACGAAACCGCGGCCAAGTCCTTTTCTGCCGCCGCCAGACGCTTTTTCACTTCACCTTTAGTGACCTCCACTGACAGAACACAGGTCCGCAGCACTTTAAGTCCTGTTGGTTCCATCCTTCGCTGTCGGGCCAGTCGCTCGACCGATTCATCATCCAGGCACAGAGATAATTGTGCTTTGCTTAGAATCCGCACTGCTACACTTGAGTCCACCATGGAGGCCACAAAGGGAACGGGGATAGCTGACACCCCGCCAGATAGCGAGGCAGCTGCCCATACTAGGGCTTTAAATGCCTCCTTTTTCTGGGTGATCAGGGTGGAGGTAAGCGTCGGGAAAGCCAAGAGAAGTGCGTGGGCTCGGATCTCTGGAAGGTCTCTTCCCATGTCCTCCAACAGGCCGGGGAAGTCAAACTTCTCCAAGGTGGAGGGTCGCACCAGGTAGACTTTAGGCAGTGCCACACCCTGTGATGTCAGCACTTCTAAACTGGCTTTCCTCTCTTCTTCTAGGTTTTTTTCAGTGGCTTTTTCTGAAGCTAAGAGAATAAAGTACACTGTTTGTCGCTGTTGTGACCGGGCCTCGAGAAACACCGCCACGCTGTTGGGTTGGGGCGCCTGGTTGAACGCAATGAAGACGGCATTGTAGCGGGCAAACTTAACTCTGTCCATGTATCCCTCGGGTTCAAATGGAGAGGTGGATGGAACAGGTGGCAGATCCCACATGCGAAAGTCAGGGTGTTTAGGGCTTGGGTAGCCTGCCACCTCCTCCGGGGCAACAGGGGATTGAGACGGAGCTGCTCCATCATCCCCAGAGCTGAGGCCACGTAGGGAGTTTATGAAGGTGGCCTTTTCATCCCCACGGTCCCCTATCACAGCTAAGTTGATCCTGCTGATCAGGAGATCTTCCACTGCATCCTTGACATCTGATACCTTATTGTGCTCTATGGACTCTTTGAGGGTCTCAAGGAGGTTCAGGCTTCTGAAAACATCAGCCATTTCTGTGAATAGACAGAGAAGGTTAATATACTGTAACAAACAAAGCATTAAAACTGATCGACTTTACCACACTGGTAAGTGTAACAATAGACGTGATGACATCTAACATATCAATAAAAATAGATAAAAGTGGCAACTTTTCAAATGGTACCTTGCAACATAATCCTAGAATAAATGTTAAAGCTAATTATGTTTCACCACTGGTTAAATAAAAAACAATAAAAAAGAAACACACCCCTTGTCCAATGGGGTGGGTGCTGGATCAAAGAAATATCTAACATAATTAAAACAGATAGATCTGCACATCAAGTACCTCCCATTATAAGGATGTTTATTGCTGACATCAATTTATCCGTTTTAATTCTTGAGCAACATTTCAAACCTGTAATGAAGGTTTCACACAGTCCATTCATAAAAGCAAATATCACAAGCTAAGGTCTGTGTAAAAATCATAAAGTGAAATGTTAGAAATGCATTGCTGTCAGTTTTACTCTTTTTACACTCATTTTTAAAGCAATCAATTAGAATTTTTTTTGGCAATGCAAAGTTTCGATTCAACACAACACTGCACATACTCGCCGGCGGGTTTCTGGAGGAGAAGCAGCCCTGTGGGTGAAGTATTTGTTCTCAGTTGTCAAATGTTGACTCTTCGGCGGCTCTGAATTACCAGCAGCGTCAGGTTGATCTATTTAAAGGTGTCCGTCCAGCTAGTGGAACATTCTAATCCTGTTAGCTCAGCCTTAATCCCAAATCACTTAAAGCGCATTCATGCACACTGTGTGTAAATGTAAAGCTATTTGCTTTCATGTATAGGCATCCAAGAAGGCACACACATTGATGAGCATATAAATAAAGATACAAGCATAATTAATGCTAGATTACTAACATTATTATTATTACGGTTCAAATCTAAGCACAACCGTTATCCAGACAAGAAAAGATGCCACAATTCATCAATATGATCATATAGTACCTTAAAAAACATGTACTACTTTTGTTCTCCTCACTGTCCACAATGATGAGATATGGGAAATTATGAAAGACTACCTTTTTGTAATTTAGGTATGAAGACTTGTGTAAGGTTGGAAAACAACCCAGAAAGCGCAATCAGCAATGTTACAGTTTAATTTTCTTTTCATTAACATTGAAAGCTGTTACACGGAATTTGTGTTTCCCCACAAAGGCCGTATGAAGGCACTGACCATAAAGAGGAACAATGTAGTAATAATTAAGTTGAGGGATTTATGCATGTGAGACTGTATGTGAGACTCTTATGAGAAAAGCTGCACTGTTTTGCTTTCTTCTCTTTTTATTTTAAGAGGAACCCAGAATGCAAAACATCTGACACCTGGTTGATGCTTCGGGTGCTATTTTAGGCTCACATCCTCTCACACAGTGGTTTCCTGTCTTTTTGAAAGCAGAAGAGTTGTAAATTCAGGTTTACAGTATGTGAGTTCATCTCGAAAAACAAAGCAATTGGACTTGAAATCAAAATCTAAAAAATGATCTAAAGGCCAATATCAGATGAAATCAAATGTATAGTCTTGCTTATTATTCATTATGTATGCAATTAACATTAAGATATTATCAGCAAAACATTTAAAATGACAAGACTTGCATGCGAGTTATGTACCGGGGGCACTTTCTCACCAAACAGCAAATGATTGCAGAAAGAAGAACGAGAATCACAAATGCAATGATAATTTCCAGCAGTGTAATATATATTTTTTAATTTCATGTTTTGATCTGGAACAAAGAGGAACAAATTGTCAGCATTGTTGCCCAGAGAGACAAAGCATCCTGATTTGATGATTGAGTCCCTCCCTCCACAAAAAAAAACTATTTCTTTCAAAAGCACAAACATATAAAAAGTGTAGAATAAACATACAGGAAGTGTGGTTGATCACACTAGATCAGAAACAACTCCACAGCCGCGAGCACGGATACAGGATGCTGCATGTTCACCTTTTCTGTACTGATAATACATTTGACTAACACTTTCCTCAGGGCCTCATTTCAGGCCTCCTACAACAGCTCTAAACAATTCATATCTATGGTCTCTGCAGTCACAATAACTTGAAAAAGCAATGTATCAAATTAGCTGTGGCATAATCATTCACTGTAATGGATTTCATTTGGAAAGACATTTAAAAATAATAATGTATATGTTGTTTAACCTGGTCCTCTTGATTCTGCTCTCTTCTCTCCACAGTGACTCCGCTCTAAACAGACTCTTCCTCTCAGAACTCTTCTACCTCTTTCCTCTTTGTGGAAACAACGTTAATTATTAATTATAATTGGTATTGTCTCCTCTTGTTAGACTAACACAATTCCATGCAGTTATAATCTCACAGTAATATGCATCATATATCCTTTAGGGAATTTGTATCTATGGCAGTTGCACGATCAATAAGAAAAAAAGATTCTGGTCTTGAGACACATCTTGTGTCACAGAATGTGTTCCTCCATTTTAGCTTCAGCTTTTTTGAAAGCACTTCTGTATTTGTATAATGTGCTGAAATATGGCATCACTCTATTTTCAGTGTCTCTGGTAACACTGGGCTACTACACTTCGACTATCTTCAGTTAACGAGCTGCGATTCTGTCAAAATCTGTTGCTGTATCCTTTATATCTGCATATTGAACACTGAACCTAGACGAGCGAGGACGATAGAGTTTGAGAGGACAACTAAGAGACTATGATCTTTCAGGGAGAACAGTGTTTTCTGTGCAGGAAACTCGCTGCTAGTACTGAGAGTAAGGATGATCTCTACTGCTAGTAATACACTACTATGAAGTGATTGTAAACAAAGTAATTGGACAAAGTAAGGTTGATTCCTACTAGCACTAGTAATCCATTACTATAAAGTATAAACAAGAACTGATCTGGAGACTATTTTTGAAATCACATTAAATTGTATATTTTTTTTCCTAAAGAATTAACGTAAATTCTCCTCACCAAAATGATGTATACAGAGTGACTCTGACAATAAAATGAAATAACAGACACGTTTTCTGTTGCTGGAATGAGCGTTTATTTGAGCACAAAGCTGAATAGCAGTAAAAAGAACAGAGCTGCACTTGCAAACATAAGGGCACTGGAGATCCAGCAGAGCACTTAGCATACAGACATATTACCACTGAGAGGCATCTAAGTTTAAATATTTCATATAAATGCATTTAAATGAGCTTTTATCAAACAAAAGATGAGAATATTTAGGGTTCAGTGTGTCACCCTGCACATACTGTACAACTTGGTCGCTTTACTTCATGAGCCATAGCTACACATATTGTGGCTTTAAATAAAAGTTCAAAACAAAAGTGCACTTTGGTACAAAAAGAGCTGCATTGCCCCCTCAGTGCGCGACAGTACCACGTTATTATGAATTCCACTGCTTTGCCCTGTGTAGCTTTCAAGCGCTAGGATTGGCCAGATGTCGGAAGTACCGCTAATCTGATTTGTTCAGGTCTCCTCTGTCTCTCCTTTCTGCCAAGACCCCTTTAAACACACCTCTGCGTAACATCTGTCTGCTTCTTTTAATTTATACATCTGCAAGTACTAACAACACATGTATTCACATATCCATTTCAAACTTCTCCTAGTCACCTACAAAGCTCTCTATAACATGGCCCCCTCTCACCTATCCACACTCCTTTAACGGCACACTGCAACACGTACCCTCAGATCATCAAACCTCCTCACGCCCACAAATAGGACCAAGCACTGGACCTGGGGTGACGGAGCCTTTTTCCTGCTGCTGCCCCCACCCTCTGAAACTCTCTTCCCAATCACATCCAGACTTTAGATTCTCTACCTTACCTCAAAACACACCTTTTCAAGTCTTCTTTTAATGTCTAACCATTTAACTAGTCTGTCATTCCTGCTTATTTGTTTATGTCTATGATGCATGTTTTTAAATATTTCTCTCTATTTCATTCCCTTTGTAAAGTGTCTGAGTTTTTTGAAAAACAATTATAAAATAAAAAGTATTATTATTATTATTATTTATGTTTAATTTTCATTGAAGATGTATACACGCTTTCCTTTATGTAAAAGGAAATCTACTTCAGCCTCACACACACTCACACACACACACACACACACACACACACACCAGCATCACATCTAAAGCATGAATGTCTGCCCTATATCGACCCCCTCTTGCACTAAAGCTCATGCTATGTTTAATGTAATGCTGGTCTCACTGCATACATGTCACGTCTGTCTACGCTGAATCACCTGTTGTGTTTTGTCTTGCTTCCGCCAGTTTAAAAAATGAAAGAAACGTTCATTGTTAAGTCACTCCACTAAGTCACACAGTCCGTCTATCTCGCCCATTATTTCATTCACATTTGAGTACACTGCCACATCCTCACCTCCCTCCTCCTCCTTTGGCATACACTCTTTTGTCTCCTTATCTTCCCCTATTATCACCTCCTCCTCTTCACTGCCCTCCAACATGTCACTGGCCTCAGCACCATCGTCTTCTCTCTCTTTTGTTTTTTTGTTCTTAATCTCGGCATACTCTGTATCGGCGGTCTCTTGCGTATCCTCTGCCCCTGTGGGACTCTTCCTTTTCACCAAGGAAAAGTCGATGTCAGAGTACTCCACCTCTCTTGGTTCCACATCGCCGTCAGGGGCCGATTGCCCAGCAGCCTGAGCTCCTTCTTCAGATTCCTCTTGGCCATGGGTCCCATCGTTTTCCACTCCTTGACCAGCATCGATCTGTGAGGTGCAATTCAGAAATTATAAATCATCTGCCAACTGATACATTAAATTTCTACATCCAGGCTACAACTGGTTACTACTCAAACACTTGGAACTATTTCATCTGTAAGCCGTTAAAATGATCATGACTGTTTTTTTCTTAATTGTAGTTAAGATTGCTGCTGTGCGATAATGCAGCGCCGTCCTTTTAAAATCAGTCCATACTTACAACCGCATTGCGGTGCAACAATAAGAGCACTCTGACAGTGTGAAACAAAAGAAGAACAATGGCAATGCATGTCTCCTCACAAGACTAATCTTTCAGCAAACATTTAATCAACATTTAACTGATATATTGTACACAGTTAGAAGCCAGCTGTGTTAATATGAATACCAGTGGAACCGCTTGAGTAGTCACCATCTCCAGAGCTTCAGCCATATTACCAGAGTTCTTCCGTTTATTTCTGGGGAGGAAATTAAGTAAACAACAACAAATGTTACAAATTTACAAGCAATAATTATTTAATTAAAGTCACTCTTAAAAGTGTTTTAAAAAAAAATAAAAAAGGCCACACATGTGATCTACGTTGCGTTACCAAAACACTAAAGACACATTCCTCACAAGACAATCAAATTCAAGCATGTTTCTAGCCTATGCAAACAGATTGTGTATACTACATTTATATATTAATATATTTCTATATGCCTTTATTTTGGAAGAACACATTCAAAAATGTTTGCAGAATACCTTGGAATAAGGTATACTGCAAACATCGTGATTTGCTGTAAAATGGATCAAGTATACTAAAACACTGTTGTGGTCCTTAATGACTGATAACACATGAATAATGCCGAGAACTTTTATTAAAAAATAAAATAAAATAAAGAAGAGCAATGCATGGATGTCAAAAAGATGCACAGTTATGCAAGTAAAAT